AAGGTAAGACCCCTATTCTCTTCTTGTGGGACAGGCACTACAACCAACTCAGCCACACTTAATCATCCTTTACCCAAGTTAAAATCATGGTTTAAATCAACATTCTGAAAGAACTTGAACTATATTGACAACTAAAAATGGAAATAGGCAAGGTCAGAATGACGTATCCCCAGAGTCTGAATTAGTCTATAGAAAAACCAGAGCTCAACTATAGTTCTATAAATAGGCTTGTAAAATAAATGCAATAAAAAATTCAACTCACCATCCTGTGGCAGAAACGTTGTCCAATTTCCAATTAATCAGCACTTTGCTGAGATAAAGTACAACGGTGTCACCTTTAGGTCCACTGTTAAATTTCATGCAGAGAAGAATGGGACATAGACATGCCATGCCAACCTCATCCTGTGTGCACAGTGTTTTTTATTTCTATTCCACTGTGTCCTATCTCTTTGCCTCCGGCAGTCACAGTTACAAAACTGAAGCTCATATGCGAGCAGTAAAATGCACCTCAAAAGTTCCTCTTTGGGGCTGGCCCCGTGGCTCACTTGGGAGAGTGCGGCGCTGGTGGCGCCGAGGCCATGGGTTCGGATCCTATATAGGGATGGCTGGTGCACTCACTGGTTGAGCGTGGTGCAGACCACACCGTGCTGAGGGTTGAGATCCCCTTACCGGTCAGGAAAAAAAAAAAAGTTCCTTTTTGTTTATGGAGCTGCACAGAGGACACAGGTGACTGTCTATCCAGTCTGTCAATATTGATTGCATTGATTGGTTAGTGCATCTAGTCAACCCAACAGGTGAAAAGCAGCGGTTGTCGGTTTCCCAGCAGAGTTGCTACATCTCTGAGCCTTGAGAGCATTAGCACACTGCATCTGCTGGAGGGTGTCTGGTAAGTTCTTATCTGAACTCTCTTCCAAAGCACTGTGTTCACCCCACGCATACATCACCTTCTTTTAATAAATGGATTGAATAAGACACATTCTCAACAATGTTGCACGTAGCTGAGATATAGGTCCATTTCACTTTTGTTCAAAAGGGAGCCTTGGAAACCAGTGATGACTTTATGCAACACCAAGGGGACAGGGTGACCCTAAATGTTTCCATGCCCTGAGCCTTCAAGATCCTTAGAGGAATGATCACATCCAGGCCTGAAAGTGGCTTGAAAGTCAAAACACATTCCCCAAAGTAGGCAGTCTATTAACCTTTTGACTCAGGTAGATTAATAATAGCATCACCCAAAGAAGCAAGTGGATGTATTTAAGTGAATGGCTTTTGTAGAAAGAGCCATGTATCATATTTTTAAAAGCACAGAGATAGTTTTGTGTTTTTTATTAGACCATTGACTTTTAGAAAATTATTCAAATTTGAAATAACTATAGGTTCACAGAAAGTTGCACAATTTGTACATAGAGTCGTGAGTCCCCTCCCCCAGGCCCCAGGGGTGGCATCTGATATAACTGTAGGGCGACAGCCACACCAGGAAACTGACAGGTGCAGCGCCGCCAACCAGACTATGCACTTTCCTCAATTTTCACCAGACTGTCGATTTTTAAGAAGGGAAGAAATCTCACAAAATATCAGAAAATCATCCACGAACTCAAGTGTTAACAAATATTCAACATGAATAATAGACATTTTCTTAAGGAAAAAAGATGTCACAGTTAAGGGTCTGTGAAATATTTGTATTTTTTAAGTGAAAACCACAGTTAACAAGGTCTAAGCACGAGCATTTTTAAAAGAGCACGCTTGTGCTGAGGCATGTCTGTTTGACCCCGTGGGTGCCATGTCTTGGAGTAGAAGTCCTCGCCTAGCATTGTAGCTGGGCCTCCTGGAGGGCTCTGCACAGCCCATGCCCATCTGGGTGGGCAGCATGGGGGCGGAGGTGGGGGGGGCATGCTGAAACCCAGGCATTCAACTCCCCAAATCCCTCAAGGGACACCGTCCCATCATACATACAGCCCAGATCCCCAAACCTCGCAGGCTCCTACAACTCGTCTCCAGGTGAGATGAGGCATGGCAGCAGGTGCCCTTCTCACCCAGGACACCGGCCCCTGCTCTGGGGAGGATGACAGGAGGGTTGTGACAACCCCTTCTCAGTGTTTGCTCTTCTGATGCCCACAGGAGGGTTCTGAGTGGTTTGAGTACCTGTTCTGACATCCACTTTTTGGCTTTTTTTGCATTTAAACAATTAAAAAACCCATTTATATTATATTTATTCCTGATTTTATTATCATCGATGCTTTAATTTTGAATTTCTAATAATTAGCTAATAAGTTGGCAGAATATTATTATTCTTCGGGATGATTTTCTAAATGTTGTCTCTTTAAACAACTCTATTTTAGCCACCGTTGAATACTTTAGCCTCTTCTCAGCAGTGTCTAAATACCTTCTTTGGAGATCTCCTTTCCAGCACTTTCCCCCTCATGAGCTCTCCTTGGTGCTGAAATCCTACCACTGGGAGAAGAACCAGAGTCACTCGTGCTTGCTGTTCCCTGGAGACGCCGTCACACACTCGGCATTGGTGTCCAATGAACACCGAGTGTGAATGACTCTCTGATTCCTCTCAAAGTCACTGCTGTCACCAGACCTTAAGAGAATTACAAAAATTGGCCCCAAGACTTGACCTCCTGCCAGGGAAGGTGGTACTGGTGGGGGAAGGAGTCGGAAGGATGGGGGAAGAAAGGAACAGGGCTGCTTGTGGATAAGGTGCAGGCAGTCCTGGACAGGAGCACCCACGGGCGGTCCTCTCTACTTCTCAGCTTTACTGAGAGTCTGCCTCCCACTGCAAACATCAGTTCAAATCCTTGCTGTAGACATACGCGTGGCAACCTGCGTGCCTTCAGGCAAAAACGTGCTACGAATTCCTCAAAAGATTCTGGAAAGACTCCTCCCTTGGCAAAGACCCTCTCCTTGACCGAACTTGAGTCAGGCTCTTCTGAGTCCTCTTTTTGAAGAGGCCCTACCTTGGCTGCATCTGGTCTTTGGCTTGTATCATCCAGTTTTAGCAAGATTCCTGCTTAGTAAGTCCACTGAGAACCCCTCACCCTCAGTAGCTGATCAAGTTACTCGCCCTGCACCTTTGATGTCTGAGTCCTAGGCTCGCCTTCAGCAAGAGTCTTGTTGGGTCAGCTTAGCAAGAATCTCCCTACCCTTAGTAGTTTTCCATCCAGCGATGCCTCACTCTGCTTGTGGCTATAAATCCCCAGTTGTCCTTGTATTCGGAGTTGAGCCCAATCTCTCTCGCCCTCCATGATAGTGTTGATAAAGCGTCAGAATATTTTTTTCTTTAATGCACTGTGGCAGCATGGATGCACAGCCCCCCCAGGCCATGAAGATGCCCACGGACCCACAAAAACAGATCAGCCTTGGCTCCTCGTGGGAGATTCTCAGAGAAGGGAAAGGTCATGTCAGGCTAGGAAAGCCCCTAGCAGCTGGCTATTCAAATTCATACAGCCTCAGGCTCCTTTCAGAGTATCTCAGACAATGACCTGGGTAGCCCTGGAGTGACCCCCAGGCTTAGCATTTGGGAGGAGGTGTGGGACCTTCTTGCTGGGTTATTGTGACCTTTACTTTCATCACAGTCAATCAATACCAGTGATCAGCAGGGTCCGTGCTTAACTGCTAGGACATGACTCATCTCTGTCTCCGAATAGGAAAGTGTGGGCTGGATTATCTCATAATGCATTTTTGCTTTCTTTCTCCTGAGTCTCAGGAAGGTTTAAGAAAAAAGAGCACTTACTTGTCTTATCTGTAGTGTTGTGCACTGTCACCGTAGGAACTCCAGGACCTGTAGTGGGTAGAGAAGCCAGAAAAGAAACAAAAATGAGGCCATTAGTTTAGTTGAGAGCAAAAAAGAAGACAGATTTGTGGAATCTGGAGAACCTGACTTCACGGACGCCCAGTGGAGGGATGGCAGAGGCCAGGCTTTAACCAGGGGTTGTTAAAGGCAGGCTCTCTAACTTTGCACCCGTGCTAATTACAACGAGCTCAATTCAAGTACACACTTCTAGATTACTGTGATGACACAAAATGTCATTTTAGAAAGCATTACATTTGTTTATATCCTCATAACCTCATTTTTACTCTCCAGACACAAGTCCCAGGCTAATTACAAAATCATGGCTTCACAGAGTCCTAACAAATTACTCAAGCCTCAGCGCCTTGTTAGCTTTTTAAAAGACGTCCATGCTGGCTCCTCCAGGAAGGCAGTCACTCTGTCCACTGATCTCTCATAACAATTTGTAAAACTTCCTAGTGTAGCAGACGCCCTCTGAAAATGCTACACTGTGCTTCACTTTTGCCTTGGATCACTTTAGCTTGCAGCTTTCCAGCGCCATGGCTGTCATGGTCCCGACAAGGGAGAAGGAAGGTGCAACTCAGGACAAAGTGGCCCCTCACCAGCTTTCTCGGCAGACTGACATCTCTATTCTCTTTAGCAAAAGGAGAGTCCAGAAAGAAGAAAAATGGGCTTTCTGAATTTTTAAAATATCTTTTTGGAAACATATTAAGAGGCAGGCCTGGGGACCTTTTTGACCTCACCTCTGTGCTCTCCTCTGCACACTTTCTGTTCCAGCCAGCTGGCCTTCTCGCAGGGCCTGAACTATGCCAGGCATGTTCCCTTTGGGCCTGTCATTCTCTCTGTTGAAATGCTCAGCCCCTAGGCATTGCCATGGCTTGTTTTTCTTTTCATTTAGTCTCTGCTCAAATGCCTTCTTCAACCACCTATTCTAAAGAATCATCCTCTATAGCCACACGGTCAGCCTCAGTCCCCTCACCCAGCTCCCCTCTCTTCATAGAGATCACTACCACGTACTATAGTGTCAGGACCTTAGAACACATAATTATCAGTATCTTTGCTTATCACCCTTCTTCTCAACTGCTGTAGGATGTAAGCTCCACGGTGGCCAACACGTGTCTCACTCATTGTGGTTATTGTCAGCATCTAGAACGGTGTTTTGAATAGAGTAGGTGTTGGATCACGTATTTGTGGGGTGAATGCTGAGTGAGTGATCGTAGAACATGCAGGAGAGGCTCTGCACCTATAGGAGAGGTGGGGGAGGCTGCCGCTTTGGGCTTGGGTGGACCGTGCGAGGATAAAGGACAGCAAAGATGTGGGAGGCAGGTGAGCTGGGGGGGACAGATCTGCTAGGGGATCACTGGCCAGGGCTGCTTCTGCTCTGCTTCAGGTTGGGACACTGGGATGCCATGAACTTGCAGGATGTGGCCACATCAAAGCAGGAGGACACACAATATTTGGGCAGAGGGATGGCTGGAGTTTAGCATCCCTAGGGTCATCGTCAGGCTTTTCTCATGCTTGTGAGGGGTCATATGATAAGTGCCTGAGTTGAGATACAGGGAATCTGCTATGGGTCCCACCATGCTGAGCACTTAAAGGCCCTTCTGCAGAGGTTGCAGAGTGAACATCTCAGTCCTGGGTCCAAAGAAGATGAGGCAGAAAAGCAAAGGGGTCTTCTACATTGAGAGATGAGGTGGGGTAGGTTCAGTCAGGGCATACCCCCAGGTCCTGGATAAGCCAAGAGACACAGACTGTGGGTCATACCAGCCGCAGACATCACAGCAGATACCTATGCATTTCCCAGGGACTGGACCCAGACACTATCCAGTGCACATCCAAAGTCCAGGAGATCCAGGGGCACTTTTCTCCACACTGTGCCTCTCCCCCTCCCATTCACCCATAGATAGGTTGCCAGATACAATGCAGGATGGCTGGTCACGTGAATATTATTTAGATAAACAATGAATATTTTCTTACTATAAATATTCCATTGTGGTATTTGGGACACACCACTAAAAAGTTATTTGTTGTTTACCTGAAATTCATATGTAACTGGGCATGCTGTATTTTTATTTGCTAAATCTGACACCCGCTACCCAGGGAGGGACCAGTGATCTGAGAGTCTACATGTTTAGACCTAAAGAGACAGCACTTACCAAAAGAGATTCAAACATTGACTGCAGATTTAAATTATTGAATTAAGCTAAATTTCTTGACTCTAAGATCCATTCCCCTCCCCTGGGAGCCCATGTGGAAGAACAGATCAGTTATTGAGAAACAACAAACCTATTTTCTCTGCACATTTCAGGGTGAGTCAATTTGCAAACAGAGCATTCCCTACATTCTTATTAATAATGTAAACAAGTACTACTTATTTAGTGCCTACTATGTAAAAGGCACTCTGTAGATGTTTTATATGAATAATTTCTAATCTATTGCTCACAGCAGTTCTGCAAAGTAGGTGTTTCTAACCATCTCTTACAGAGGCGGAAACACGGGTTTAGAGAGCTTTAAGTCTTTGGTCTCGTCCATGCAATAAAAAAGCTGCTGAGCCTGGATTAGCTTCTTCTCATCTTTTAATTCATGAACTCAATACAGGTTTCAAAAAAA